ACATTTGGGGTGCCAGCCTTGAACTGGGATTGTATTTTGTGCAAGGCAAGTGCCTTAAACCCTTTATTATCTCTTTGACCTGACAAAAGGTATTATAATAGAACTGAGTTTATTCAGTAGAGAAGCAGTAGCATTAACAATAATTACCTGGGAGTGGCAGAACAATAGTACAGTGGGTAGGGCATTTGCCTTATATGTGGCCTACCCAGGTTCAATCCTGGGCACTCCATATAGTCCCCTGGGCACTGCCAGGAGTAATTCCCGAGAGCAGAGCCAGGAGTAATCCCTGAGTATCACTAGGTGTGACCCCACCACCAAAAAGCAAAAAACCCTCACCCCCCACCCCCCCCCCCCCCATAATGATCTGGCTGGGAATGTGGCTCAGTGGAAGAGCACTGCCTTGCTTGTGTGAAGCTCTGGTTTGAATCTTGCCTTACATGCAACAGACCTGGGTTTCATACCCGGCATCCCGGATAGTCCCCCAAGCCTTGCCAGGAGTGATCCCTGAGCGCAGAACCAGGAGTGAGTCCTGGGCACTGCTTGGTGTGACCCCAAAACAAAAAAACTCAAACAATACATTATTAGACATAAATTTTAATTTAGTCTATTATACTTCAGACATTATACTTAGCACCAGGAGTATAATATGAGCATGGAGATATATCCATATACATGTACTGATAAATGCATATATGTGTACGTGTGTATGTCATAGGCTATGATTGTAGAACTGAAGAGGAAGTAACTAAATTCCTAGAAGAGACAGGAACATTTTTTTTCTTTTCTTTTTTGCTTTTTGGGTCACATCTGGTGGTGCCTAGGAGTTCCTCCTGGCTTTGCACTCAGGAATTACTCCTGACAGTGCTCGGGGGACCATATGGGATGCTGGGAATCAAACCCGGGTCGGCGTGTGCAAGGCAAATGCCCTACCTGCTGTACTATTGCTCCAGCCCCATGAAAAACCCATTTTTTTAAAAAAACAAAGCCATATTTGGCGTACTCAGAGCTTTCTCTTTGTCTGCATCCAGGGATCATTCCTAGGGGAGTTCAAGAGATCATATGGGGTGCTGGGGATCAAACTGGGATCAGCTGCATGCAAGACAAACGTCTTACTCAGTATACTATTGCTCTGGCCCCAGAAAAATCAGTTGAGGAAGAATCTAGGGGAGTAAAAAGTGCCTTACCAGAGAAAGTGGAAGGGTAACTATTAGAAGACTACTGTGTAGGAAATGGTGTAGGTTTGCATAACCCACTTTTTTATTTTTATTATTTTTTTTGGCTTTTTGGGTCACACCTGGCGATGCACAAGGGTTACTCCTGGCTCTGCACTCAGGAATTACCCCTGGTGGTCCTCAGGGGCCCATATGGGATGCTGGGAATCAAACTTGGGTCGGCCGTGTGCAAGGCAAACACCCTACCCGCTGTGCTATTGCACCAGCCCCTGCATAATCTACTTTATGAAAGGCAAATACGTTCCTCAGTTGAACCACAGAGGACATGAAGGAGGTGAGGTGAGAAAGTGTTTATGTGGGAGGCTGTGGCTTGATGATGGAGCTTTAAGTGTAAAAAAGAGTTTGGACTTTTTTTTTTTTGGTGGGAGGTGGGGTCATACCTAGCTGTGCTCAGGACTTAATCCTGGCTCTACACTTAGGAAGTGCTCCTGAGGGGTCAGGAGACCATAAAGGATGCCCGGGATCAACTCAGGTTGGCCAAGTACAAGAAAAGCCACACCTTTTGTACTATATTGCTCTGGCCCCAAGGGCTGGAGCGATAGCACAGCGGTAGGGCATTTGCCTTGCACGCAGCCAACATGGCCAACCCGAGTTCGATTCCTCTGCCCCTCTCGGAGAGCCCGGCAAGCTACCGAGAGTATCTCGCCCGCACGGCAGGGCCTGGCAAGATCCCCGTGACGTATTCGATATGCCAGACACAGTAACAACAAAGTCTCCAATGGAAACGTTACTGGGCCCGCTCGAGCAAATCGATGATCAACGGGAGGGCTCTGGCCCCAGAATTTGGAATGTTAAATTCCTAAATATTAAATTTGGAGTGTTTAATTTTTGTTTCATTTTGTTTTTGAGTGACACCCAGCAGTATTCAGGGCTTACTCCTGGCTCTGTTCTCAGGGGTCACTCCTGGTACCATGAGAGGTGCCAGGGATTGAACATAGGTTGGCCAAGAGCAAGGCAACATTAGTTTTAGTAAAATCTGGTGACATTGGGAGAACAGAGAGATTGAAGGTTAAGAGATGGGTTCAGAGGTTATTTATTGTAAGAGAGTGGAAGGTCTGAACAAAGGTGAAAGAAATTCTTCTGAGAAAGACCTGAGAGATTCCTCGAAAGGAAGCAACAGAGCCCAGTTATTGGTTAGATATAGGAAGGGGAATTAAAAAAGTGTGGCTATCCTAGGATCTCTAGTTTAGTAGAACAGAATTGATCAATAGGATCAGCTCTGATTTAGCCAAAAGTAAAGTCCTGAGATAATAGTGTATATGGCATCTAAACTATAAGGAGATGGTGTTTATACACAATCTGGAACAATAAATCCAGAGTGTTTCAAAGGAATGAACCAAATTAAATAGGAACCAGCGATAGAGCATATGCCTTGAATGTTCGAGACCCTTGGTTCTATTACCAGCACTGCAAAAACAAATCAACAAATGAAACTAAAGAAAAATAAACCTTAAAACTATAAGAATTAAATAATGTGGATAAAGAGATAGTACAGTGGGTAGGGAAGGGTGCCTCTCTTGCACACCATTGGCCCAGGTTCAATCCCAGGTCTCCTCATATGCTCTCTGGAGCCCACCAGAAATTAATCCTGAGCAAAAAAAAAAAAAAAAAAAGGAGTAGTGATTATCAGAAGGAAAGAGAAAAAGGGGTAGGTAAATTGGGTAAAGTGAAATTGAAAGAAAAGACTTGATTTACCTTGCAAAAATACAAAACTCTAAACACTCAAGTGAGTTGTTTTCTTGTTTTTCAGTTTGTTTTGGGCTATACCTGAAGGTGTTTGGAGACAACTTCTGACTCACTCATTACTGGAGGGTGTTCACAGAGGCGCTAGAGGACCGTGCTATGCTGGAGAGTGACGCCAAGACTCCCTCCTGCAAAACATGTGCTCCTGCCCTTTGAGGACCAACCATTTCTTTAGTTTGAGGCTCAGTTTCTTGGTGGAGCCAGGAGAGGCTCAGTATTTTACTTTGCAGTCTCAGCTTCAAAAATTTGAATTAGAACATTAGATAGATATGACCTCGATGGCAAGAAATATGTATTATGTATATTTAATATAATTATATTTCATTATATATACATGAATATATATGTAATATATATAATATATATGAAGCATGTGTGTGTATGTGTGTATATGCAGGTGTGTGTGTTTGGGCCACACCGGGAAGTGCTCAGCGATTCCATTTCTCTCGGCTCTGCACTCAGGAATCACTTCTGGCAGAGCTCAAGGGGATCACTGGCTGGCCAAGTGCAAGGCCAATGCTCTACCCTCTGTACTCTCTCTGGTCCTGCAAGAAACAGTTTAATACTCTTTAAAAAGAAAGAAGGTTAAAAGTATGATCAGGACTTTAAACCTGGGGCTGGAGCCATAGAACAGCGGGTAGGGGGTTGGCCTTGCATGTGGCTGACCCCGGCATTCTGGGCATTCTGTTCGGTGGTCTCCAGCACCGCCAGGAGTGATTGCCGAGTGCAGAGCCAGGTTGCTGCAACCCTGGGTTGCGCGGGGGTTCGTTGCTTAGGAGTGACCCCTGGCGGTGCTCGGCACAGCATGCAATGCAGGAATACGCAAACCTCACCCCTGCACCATCTCAGAACCCTTTTGTCTTTGTCTTCCTGGGCCTTGGAGGTGGGCCATAACCCGCGTCACGCAGTGCCCATGTGCCCACCATGTGACGTGACCCCACCACCCAACCATTCTCTACATTAGGTTTTAATTGATAAGCGTCAGGAAATTCAGAGTTCACCCGCATCTGCCTCCAGATTGATTTTAACCTCTCTGGACCTGTCTCCTGAATGGCAGTTAGTGACTTTAATTTCAGCCAACTGGCCCATCTATTTAACAGTTCACAGCAGGTTTTCCGTAAGTCTTTTGCTTCAGAATAATTTGAAAAAGGCCTTTTTCAAATTCAATGTACTCCAAGCTTTCCTGGGAGTGAGAGTGCATTTGGGCCAGCATTTCCCAAGAGAGAGTCAAAGACGCCATTAACACTGAACTTCTAGCGAGACTAGAAACTGGGGACACAGAAGACGAATAACCAGTGGGCGTCCGGAACACATAGGTCGGTCCACTGATACCGACAAGCTTCCCGTTCTGGTAGTGGGAACGGGCCACTTGCAAAATAGCACCAGCGGCAAAGAGCAGCAGGGGGCAGGTCCCGCCGGACTACTGCGACCCACCGGCGGCTGGAACTCCCGCAACCCTCTTAAGTATCCGCGACTTGGAATGTAGCCCAGTTCTCAAGGCCGCAGTACATAAAGATCCTTCCTAGGTCTGGACTCCGGACTCCGAGCGTGACGGTCCCGCTTCCTCTTAAGGAGCCGCGCGCCACCCAGCGGCGGGAAGGCCCTGCCAGCCCAGACGCCCGCGGCAAGGAGCACCCCATCTTCAATACCTTCTTCAGACCTCCTTAAGCAGCGCCCGGCCTGCGGTCCCGCCCCCCGGAGTCCCGCCCCTGACGTGCGGTGCTGCCGCACGATTGGCTGGCTGGCGTACGTGGGCACGCTGCGTGGCGGGGCGGGGCGCGCGGGGAGGGAGCCGCGTCGGAGGGGCCGGATCCGTGTGCGCTCGGCCGTCGCTGGGCCGCCGCCGCGCCGTGTCCGCCGCCTGTGCCGGTGTCCCGAGGGCCTGGGCTACGGCCGGGGCTGCGCGGGCGCGCGGCCGCTCGGCGTCTGCCCGCGCCCGCGTCTCCGGCTGCCGCTCTACTCGGCTGCGGCCGCGCCGGGCCGGGGGAAGATGGCGCCGGCGCCCCGAGGCGTCCGCGAGCCGCCGCGGTCCGCGCGTCGCCCCGGCCCGCCGCCCGGGCTGCTGCTGGCCGCGCTGGCCGCCCTGCTACTGTCGCCGCCCGCTGGGGCCGTCCCGTGCCCCGCGCGCTGCGCCTGCCGCGCCCCCCTGCTGGACTGCAGCCACGGCAAGGCGGCCGCGCCGGGCCCCGGGCCGCTGTGGACGCCGCTGCCCGCCGACACCGCCAGCCTGTGAGTAGCCGCCGGCGGGAGGGCGCTGTCCCGGCGGGCGGGAGGGCCCGGCCGGCCTGGCCTGGGCTGTCCCGGGCCCAGGCTCTGCGGCGCCTCCGCCCGGGTCCCGCTCTGGACCGGGCCGGCAGCACGCACGCCCTGCAGTGCGGAGCTCGGGCACCGCGCGCCCCCGCCCGCAGGGAGGGTCGGCGTGAGGAAGGGGAGGAGTGTCCTTTCCAGGCAAGTGGTGCCCTGATGGGTGTCGGCGCGCTTTCTTGTGGCGATCAGTCCTCTTAAGTGCGAGGAGCAAGGACGGGCCGTGGTTGGATGCAGCCTTCGGAGACTCCAGCGCCAGTGCTCAGCCCGACAGGCCGTGCCAGTGGCACCCGTAGAGCTCGTTAGTCTGAGTCAGCCCGTTGGCATTAGCACCAACCGTAGGCATTAAAGGCTGCAATTACGGGGCTTCTTAACCACTAACGCAGTTACTTCTCCGCCACTAACTGAACATTGATTGGCAGACATCTAGTAATAAGTCACGTTTATTAATTGACAGCCATCTCACTAAACGGGTGTCACAAAAGGAGTCTTAATTGCTTGGGATGTAATGAACGTGTGAGGGGATGTTTGGATGTGGTGGGAATGAGCACTGAAGTCCTGCCTGTCTCCAAGGTTAAAGTCCCTGCCTTTGCAAATAAGCTGCCATCGAGGGGAAAGAAAGCCACCTCCTATTTTCATTAGGAAAATTACAATAACTATGGTAGTAGCGTTGTTCTACAATATAATACACTTTCGTTTTTTTTATTTTTATTTTTTTTTCTGTCTTTCTTTTTTTCCTTTCTTTTTTGCTTTTCGGGTCACACCCAGCTGTGCTCAGGGGTTCTCCTGGCTCTGCACTCAGGAATTACTCCTGGCAGCGCTGGGGGGACCATATGGGATGCCTGGGATCAAACCCGGGTTGGCTGCATGCAGGGCAAATGCCTTACCCACTGTACTATGGGCTCCCTTTTTGTGTTCTGCTACTGACACTCGTACCTGAGTCTGGTTCTGTTGATGCAGATAAAGTGTTCCTATCGATATGTGCTATGGTCAGAATGCAACCTAGCACCTTGCATTCTGTCTTGGTTATTCAGAAAGTTCCTTTATCGAAGAAATTCTTGGAACAGGTAGAGTAAATCAGGTACAGGTTTTAAAACAGCCCAACTTCAGATGGCAGTTATTGCAGTGAATAAGACCTTTTTTAAAAGAACTTTCGTTGGTAGGTAACCGGTAGTATTAGTTTGATTTAGGTTTATTTTGCATTTGAGTTTTGTTTAATCAAGACAAATTTTCAAAAGTCAAATGAACTTTCAAAATATTTAAAGTCCTCTAATGAAATTGACATTTTCCATTAATGTAAATACCTGGAAAGCAGTTTTGTTTGTAATTAGACGCGTGATTGATGGAAGTCCTACATCCAGAAAAACTCTCCGATTCAAAAGGGATTGGGGGGCTGGAAACATAGTACAGGGGGTAGGGCACTTGTCTTGCATGTGACTGACTCAGGTTTGATCCTGGGTACCCTGCTTGGTCCCCCAAGCCCTCCCAGGAGTGATCCTTGAGCACAGAGCTAGGAGTAAGCCTCGAGTACTCATGGGTGTTGCCCCAAACCTAAATAAATAAAATAAATAGGGGCCGGAGTGATAGTACAGTGTGGGTAGGGCACTTGCCTTGTATGCGGCCAACTGGGTTTGGTCCTTGGCATCCTGTATGATCCTCCATGCACTGCCAGGAGTAATTCCTGCTTGCAGAGCCAGGAATAAGCCCTGAGCACCACTGGGTGTGACTTAAAAAGCAAAGAAAAAAAGAAAAGAAACAAAAGAGCTGTTGAATTGGAGCTGTTGAAGCTGAGAACTATGACATTCTTAAGCAGTTGCCTTGCTTTTAGCCATAGTTCTCTTCCTCTGTTCTTGGCACAGACCTCCTGTAACCCTCATCATTTCCTGTGACTTATCACACAGGGAAGGGGTTCATATGGTACAGCATATGGCTGTTGTTCATTTGCAGGGCTGTCAGTTTGATCTGTAGTGCTCCCAGTCCTCTCAGCACTGCTGGTCTTAGGGCCACTCCTGTGACTGGCCCGAACACCGTCAGGCTGAGGATCTTTGGAGTGGTTCTAGGACCTTAAGCTGTTTTTGTGGGTCGCACAGGAAACAGCTGTTAGTCTAATATTTGGTCTGGGACTCATTCTTGTTGCCAAGCTCCCCAAGTTCCTTGGATTATCCTGGGAAATATATCTGCCTTGATTTAATGGGGTGACTTGGTGGACTAGCTTTGAGATTGGGGTGGGCCTCCAGAAGGACCAAACCATGATTTGGTCCCAACCATTATCTTAGAAGAGGAGAAAGGCTGAAGAAATTTCAGGTGTGGGATTCAGAGAACATCTGGGTTGAAGAGCTGCACTTGAGCTTGTGGGCATAAGCTGCTGCCCGGGGCCCTTCAGATCTCACCCCAAGTCTCTTTCTCTGGTTGTTCATCAGTGTTCTCTGTGATGTAGTAAACCTGAGTGGTTTCCCTGGGTGCTGTTGGCTCTAGCAGGTGACTGGATCAAAGCAGTGTATTATGGGATCCTCTGTCAAACAGAAGTTTGTGAGTAACAAGGGAATATATTACATGTCACTGGTGTCCGAAGGGGTGGGGAGAATAGTCTTACAGAACTGAGCCTTTTGCCTGTGAAGTCTCCAGTAACAGCACAGAGTATCACAGTTGAATTACAGGACACACTGCTGGAGCTGGAGAACTGTTAATGTAGAGGAAAATCCTCCACATCCGCACATCAAGAGGGGGAAAAATTTGCTTCAGAACCACCTTCTGCTAGGTCCATCAGCATTTGTCTTTGTAAGATGCAGTTTTAGCAAGAACCATAGATCAGTTTCCCAAGAAGCCCTTCATACCCATTTATTCTTAGTACCAATGAAGATCCTTCTTCTCCACCGTCCCCCAGGTAATCACTTTCTCTTTCCTTTGGCAAGAACATAGTTAGGTCTTTTTTGCAGACTCGCCCCAGCCCACTCCCCATTCCCCTGATGGTTGCTCTTCATACTTTTTATGCAGCAGTCTAACCATTCCTTGGCTCTAAATTCCCACTCACGCATGCAGTTGAGTTTGTTTTCCCCTCTGCAGAACTTTGGTGTTGGAATCCCTAAACCTGTCAGAACAGTGCTCACCTCTCCTACTGGGATCTCCCTCACCATTCCTGACTAGCATCATTGCAAACTCTCCCTTTAATAGTTCATGGTGCCACAGTTTTGTTAGGATCAGATTTATCACTGACTCTTGGACCTCTCGCCCAGGTCCATTAAGTTCATACCTTGAAACCTTTTTTTTGGGGGGGGGGGTCACTCCCGGCGATGCTTAGTGGTTACTCCTGGCTCTGAACTCAGGAATTACTCCTGGCCGAGCTCGGGGGACCATATGGATGCTGGGAGTCAAATCCGGCTCAGCCGCGTGCAAGGCAGACAGACACCCTACCCGCTATGCTATCGCTCCAGCCCCTTACCTTGAAACCTTTTATCTTCACTCCTGACTGATTGGGGAACCGTTGGTGAGTCTGACTCCTGGGCCACAGTTACAGAAGGATGTCTGTAAAAACTGGTAGGGATATGTTTGAATTTTTTTTTTTTTTTTTTCCAATTTAGGAGTACTACTATTTTTCCGCCATTGATTGAGCTGATCGAATTGGGCAGGAACTCATTACTTTTTTTTAATTAAAAAATTTTTTAATTGAATATCTGTGAGATAGACCATTACAAAGCTGTTCATAATTGGGTTTCAGTCATACAATGATCCAGCACCCATCCCTTCCCCAGTGTATATCTCCCACCACCATTTTCCCCTGTTTCTCTACCACCATCCCTCAACCCCCAACCTCCCTCTATGGGAGGCACTTTCCTTCTTGCTCTCTCTCCTTTTCATTTTGTGCATTATGGTTTGCAGTACAGGTGCTAAGAGGTCATGGTGTTTGTTCAGAGCTCTGTAGCGCTGTCCTCCCGTTCATCGATTTGCTCGAGAGGGCCCAGTAACGTCTCCATTGTGAGACTTGTTGTTACTGTGTTTGGCATATTGAATATGTCATGGGTAGCTTGCCGGGCTTTGCCGTGCGGGCGAGATACTCTCGGTAGCTTGCTAGGCTCTCCAAGAGGGACGGAGGAATCGAACCTGGGCCGGCCGGGTACAAGGCAAATGCCTTACCGCTGTGCTATTGGAAGAGGCTGTCACTGCCCTCCCATTGTTCATTGATTTGCTCGAGTGGGCCCAGAAACATTGTTAGACTTGTTACTGTGTTTGGCATATCGAATTCCTCACGGGGAGCTTGCCAGGCTTTGCCGTGCGGGCGAGATACTCTCGGTAGCTTGCTGGGCTCTCTGAGAGGGGCGGGGGAATCGAACTCGGGTCGGCCATGTTGGCTGCGTGCAAGGCAAACGCCCTACCCGCTGTGCTATCACTCTAGCCCATTGGAAGAGGCAGGTCATAAAAATCTTTGTCATTGGTAGTTCCCAGCTGAATCCTTAAAAAACAATTTCCTTCCTACCCCACAGGATACAGGAACATTGTGAAGGCGTGTTTGTAGGGCTGGGATGATGTGGGAGCTGAGAGCAGGGCAGAAACTGGGGAATCGAGTTGATTCAAGTAGTAGCTCCAACATGGGAGCTCCTGGTGCCTGAGAGACTATTCTTAGTTTCCCTGTAGCTATTTGGTGGAGCAAGGGTTTGTTCAGGGCATTTAGTATTTTTATTGGATGGTAGAGCTGGAGTAGCTTTTCAGTTGGGTGTCCGCTTTGGGGTATGGATGGGACTGCAGAGGCTTCTAGAAGTACAGGGAGGTTGGGGGGGGGGGGGGAGTAGTTCATCCTGACCCTGAGAAAGCCTGGAGATTTCAGTCACAAAACCTGCATACTCAGATTTTCAGCAGATTATATCTTGGTGAGGTTGGTTCTGAGATGGTGGCAGGGATATTTTGGGTTGTAGAAGCAAGCGGCTGTCAGG